TGCTCTATGGGCAGCCTTGTGTCTCAAGCAGCTGGAATAGGCAAGGTGGTGGAGCTGGAACCCTGCTTTGAAGTCTGGTAGCACAGCATGATGCTCTCACTGCTGCAATTGCAGCTTCCCATTAGCTCTTCCCTCTGCCGGGAGCCTCTCGACGTGACTCGGGGAAGTTTCCGCGTGATGAATTTCAGGGAGTGATGCGAGGCTGGGTGTACATTTTAATTTTAGTTCTGCATGATGGAAGACGCTTGTGAGCCCATCATATTAATTTCAAAAGCTCTTTGGTATTGTGGTTATTTTGCTGGAATAATGCAGGGAGTTGACTGGGGAAATCAGCAAGCGAAGCAGGAATTTGGGGAACAGTGAAACCAACCATGCAGACCTAAATCAGCCTGCCTGGCCTGTCAGTAAGGACCTGAATCTTCCTTGACCCTGTTCCTACCCCTAGGAAAGAGATTCTGACCCTCAAGAATCTTTGCATCCTCGATGTTTTGGACTGTAGTTACTGGATTGGAAAGACTCCAGTTGTCTAGCTCTCTAGCTCAGCCATCTTCCAATGGTCCCATCTGCTCATTCATCCTCCAGGAGAAACAGAGTCGATGTCACGCCAGCAGGAACTGTCGTAAGCTATTTTCATGTCCAGTGCCTGGGCATGGTGTAGGAGAAGGCATGGAGAATTCCCGGAGAGGCGATTGAGTAATGGAAGGTGATGGGTCCAGATGGAGCAGAGAGATCTTCAGAAAAGGGCCCTTCTTCCTCCCCTCTGGTTTCCATGCAACTGAACTGTTTTAATGCTGCCAAAGTGTTAAAACTTCTCATAAGCTCCTTGTGGAAGCCCTTTGCTTGCTCAAAAGGGGGAGCTGGTTGCAATCCATTTATGCCATTTCCAGCAGGGAGGAGTGTGGCGTCGCTACAGACAGTTGGTCCCTGCAGCGTGTGGAGGACCACGGAAGAAAACATGAGGTGGCCCAGCAGCAAGGATGTGAACATTGAAGTGAGGAAGCCTGGGTTGGTCTCTCCTCGTCAAAAGTGGTGTTAGCAATAGATGTGCACAGGGAAGCGTCTTTGACTTTTGATTTGTCTTGGTCTGTCCTGGTGTCCAGCCCAGAGGCTCTTTAGATTTTGGGGGTATGGTGTACATCTTAGTTGTGTTCCAACTTGTGGACGTTCCTGGAGAATGTACCAGACAAACTCCTCTAGGTAGGAGCTGTATAGGACATTGTGCAAGCGAGATGCAATCTATTGCCTCTGCCTCATGACTTTTGTGGTGTTTTTTTTTTTTTTTAAATAAATAAATACTGTGTTTGTGTGCTTGGATGGCATTTTCCATTCAAAAAGGGAGGGAAGGAATGAGCGTGTCACCCACACCCAAGGTGCTGGCACGTAACTCAGGAGAATTACTCATAAAACTGCAACCTTATTACCCAGCTATGAAGGATTTCTTCTACCCATTTCCTCAGTCTGGCCATAATCCTGAAATTAATCTCACCTAAACAGTCAGTGGCATTTCCTCTATCGGTGCAGGCAGAAATCATTGCATTTCGTGGCTGAATGCTTCAGACAAAGAAGAAAAATAAAAAAGAAAAACAAAAACCAGTTAAGCCCAAAATATAACACTTAAGTAGGTGCATTCATGCTGCCTTTTAGGAAAGGATGTCTCCATCCCAATTCCAAGCAGGGGATGGAAGCTGAAGGATGGATTGACATTGTCATCGTAGCATGTATCAGCATGTAGGGCTTCAAGCCTGTCATGATTTTGTTGGCCTCATTAGAGCTGCTCTTCCTCCCACCATCTGAAGCTTTGGTATGTGGTTCTTCCAACCTCGTTCCCTTTGTCATTGAATCTTAACGTGTTTCCATCTGTCATCTCCCACACCAGGTTCCCTGCTCCCAATCCTTGGCCATCACCACGATGTCGCCCTTGGGCACAGTCATCCTGGCTGAACAACGGGCTGCTTTTTCACAACATTTGCTTTCCAGATGGATCTCCCCTCTCCCAGTCGGCTGTTTTTCCTATGCTGGGGAAAACACGGCTGCCCTGGGGTTTGTTTTCCACGCATAAACGTGGGTGGAGCAGATTGGGGAAGACTCAGAGCACCTGGGTGACTGGTGAGCTGGGTGGTTGAGGTGGTTTCCCTCCTGTAAACATCTCGGGAGGAGGGGATAGTTTACCTTTTTGGGTAACAGATAGGATCTGACGTTACCATGTCCTTGTAAGCACTGGTAGGATGAGCTGATTTTTGGGTCTTGTTGTTTGGAAGAGCCCATGTGAGGCTTCAGGCTCTCTGAAGTGCATGCTCCTGTATTTCTTTCACCTGATGGAGAATCACCTGGATTTTAGCTGTCCTCAGGAATGTCTCGTAGTAAACGGGGATGGTGAGTGTGTGGTGGTTGAAATCCAGACCTAAGTGCATCTCTGACTGATGTTAAGATTCAGAAGCCCAGGGATCTCTTACATGCTCTTCATCATACTCTTCCTGAATTTCTTCTCCAGGAGCAGAAGAGATTGGCAGCTGAAGTCAAAATTTCCCATCTCTCAGTCCCTGCTGCTTGTTTTTCTTCCTGAAGAGAGGGAGTGAAGGAAAGTTCCTTTAGGATGCATAGCAGATAAAGCATCCTTAAAACCAGAGCAGTGCTGGTGTTGCTCACCAAGAATTTGGATCTAGGACGTCCTAGACAATACGGGGCAAACTGGCAGGCTGGACATCGCCATGTCCTGCATGTTAATCTCCAAGAATCATAGAATGGTTTGTGTTGGAAAGGGCCCTAAAGATCATCTAGTTTGAACCCCCCTGCCCTGGGCAGGGACATCTCTCGCTAGACCAGGTTCCTCAAACCTCCATCCAACCTGGCCTTGATCACCTCCAGGGATGGGGCAGGCACAGCTTCTCTGGTGTCTTACTACCCTCACAGGAAAGAATTTCTTCCTAGTATCTCATCTAAATCTCTCCTCTTTCCATTTAAAACCATTACCCCTCATCCTATCACTTAACTCCCCGATAAAGAGTCTCTCCCCAGCTTTTCTGTAGCCCTTTTAGCCACTGGAAGGGGCTCTAAGGCCTCCCCGGAGCCTTTTTTTCTCCAGGTTGAACCATCCCAACTCTCTCAGCCTGTTTTCATAGGAAAAGTGCTCCAGCCTCGGACCATCTCCGTGGCCTCCTCCGGACTTGCTCCAACAGGTCCATGTCCTTCTTATGTTGGAGGCCCCAGAACTGGAGGCAGCACTGCAGGTGGGATCTCACCAGAGCAGAGCAGAGGGGCAGAATCCCCACCTTGACCTGCTGGCCATCCTGCTGGGGATGCAGCCCAGGATGTGGGTGGCTTTTTGGGCTGTGAGTGCTCATTGCTGGCTCATGTTGAGCTTCTTATCCACCAACACTCCTAAGTCCTTCCCCTCAGGGCTGCTTGATAACATTTCTTCTGTCAGCTGTTAGCTGTGGTTGGAGGCTTATGAAAAGTTTCTCTTTGCCCCATGGGCTGGTTTTACTTAGCCAAGAGGACAAAAGAGTGCTGCTGGGGATGTTCTGAGTGGGGTACCCAGCTTACCACTCATTTGTGGTCAGCAAGAGGGGGTGGGATGGATTGAGCTGGTGATTTTCATAGGTTAAATGGGCAGGTAGTTGGGACTCGCATCCTTTGGCTGGAACAACTCAATAAGATCAATGTTTACAAAACGCCTCGCACGATTCGATCCAAATCTTGATTAAACCTCCAGGCTGGTTGTCCCCAGCCTGAAGCACTTGGTAACACATCCAGGGTTTCTCAGGGGAAGCTGCTGGTACAGGAGGGGAAAGTCTGCTGTCACGGTGTGTAATTGGCTTGCTCTGTTTGCACGGAGGTCACCGAAGGCTGGGATTGCTTCTCTGGGCAGATACAAATAATTGCTGCAATTTTATCTCTGAATTTTTCTGGCTGGGGAAATTTCAGCCATTTTTTTTTTCTTCTTTTTTTCAGTGAGCTTTGTATAGAGGGCATGCATATAGGAAGTGCGTAGCATTTATATAGGAAGTGTTTATTAATACCTTAAAAATACTCTTGTATTCCACATATAGGGACCAGAGCAAAACCCAGTGAGGGAAGAAGGGTTTCCTTGTTGACATCAATTGAACAAAGCAAAGAGGTGCATTAATTAAAAGGCTTTTTGTGATAACAGACTGATGAATGGACACTTTGTAATGGAGTAAATTAGGAAATACTGCACGCTTAATAGCTGTTGGAAGGTAGATGGGTATGTTAAGGAATCTCCAATTTAGCTGGGTGATGCTCATCTTGCATCATCCCAGTGTCTGCAGATAAAACCATACGGGTTCTGGGTGCAGCTCTGGGTTGCATCTCAAAAACCACTCAGTGGATGCTGGACCTGTCTCTTGGGGTCACACCAGCATTTTTTCCCTCCCAGGAGAATTAAATGCTTCTACAACCAAGAGGGGTTGCATTTCTAGAAGGATAATCCTTGGAATAAAAGCTAAAAATGGAAGTTTAGTGGTGAGGTAGGGGTGTGCGATGTATGTACAGGAGTACGAAAGGGAAACAACCTGCTGGTGAGAACTGTGAAGGTCTTGATGATGGTCTCTCAAATTGGACTTAAGCTGAAAAGCTGAACTGGATTGTGGCCAGAGCATTCCTCCTACAGCAGTTTTAGGATCCTAAAGAAGATGGGACAGTTTAATAGGTGATTCCCTTTTCCCACTGCAGGTTTTAATTTGTGGTTTTTCTTTATTTTTTGCAGGTATCTTGCAGCCTCTACTTTTGCAGCTCTGTTAATCTAGAACTCTTAAAACCCTTTAGCAGCGGTAGAGCTTCATGTCCCCTTTCCTTTAAAAAAGGAGATGCTGTTCCCATACTTAGCAGTGATGTTTTGAGGAATCAACTCTTGCTTTTGTCCCTGTTCGTACAGCCCAGCTCAGAGACTGCAGGTTGCTGTAAGGACACCGTGTCCTTAGCCATCACAGAGAAATCGTTTTCTTCCCAGTACTAACCAGTTCTCTCCCTTTTCTTTCCAGGTTAGAAGAAAATCTTGTGTGACCTGGGGAACGGGACTTAAGAAGCAGTTGGTAAGAGCATCCCTGCAGGAGAGGGTCACCTGCATGTGGAAGGATGGGGCTCAGGCAGATGCAAACAAAATTTTGCCCTTGAGTAATGTTGTTTTTTTTTTTCCTGGCTTTCATTTATAGACGTTTCACCCTCTTTTGGACTGAGTTGCAAAAAGGGGGGGCTGGTTTGTGAAAGTTCTGAGCTCCTTCTCCTCCCAACCAAAGCCTTCCTCAACAGGCCTTTTATTCCTTCAAGGCTCTTCTTGAGCTACAACCCTGCCAGTAGTATTGTTTTTTAAGTGCCTGCGTGAATGTGATTAGAAATACCACTTATCTAACTCAATTAAAAAGCCACCTGTTTACCTACTGAGGCATAGCTGGTGGTCTGGCTAGTTGTGTGGTTTGTTTTTTTTTCTTTTTCACTCCCACATCCTTGATTTTTGTGCCAAACCAGGCTGTACACAACCGCCCCGCAGAACGCCTGGCAGGATTTGGTGATGTGTTGCTTTGCTCTGTGCTGGTGTGATGGAGGGGGGCTGAGGAGGGAGTCCCGGTGCGTCATGCCTCAGCTTCTGTCCTCCTATGGAGAACAACCAAGACCTGTCTCGGAGCTTTGGCCATATTTCCATGTTCTTCTCCGTGTTGTGTTTTGCTGGGCTTTAGATGGTTTCATGTCTAGAGCTAGTATAGAAAAAAAATATATGGAGAACGGTAGTGTTTTCCATGCAGAATTAAAATCATAGAATAGTTTGGGTTGGAAGGGACCTTTAAAGGTCATCTAGTCAACCGTTCATGAGCAGGGATGTCTTCAACTAGATCAGGTTGCTCAGAGCACTGTCCAACCTGCCCTTGAATGTTTCCAGGGATGGGGCATCTACACCATCTCTGGGCAACCTGAGCCAGTGTTTCGCCACCACCATTGTGAAAAATTTCTTCCTTATATCTGGTCTGAATCTCCCCTCTTTTACTTTAAAACCATTATTCCTTGTCCTGTTGCTACAGGCCCTACTAAAACTCTATCCCCCAATTCCTCAAATCACTGAGAACCCTATTTTTCTGTAGGTCTTTGGGTTTAACTTCACGTTCCTCGTCTTGGAAACTCTTGTTGGGTTAAATAAAGCCTTGTTAGTCTCCTGTTGGTCTCCTGAAAGGCAATGAGGGAAGTTCTGGTCTCATGACACACTGGTGGGATGTACGTGCATCCCTTGAATCCTCACTGGTCCACTCTAAGGGAACATATTATCTGCTCAGCAGCAGATTCACAAGCTGCAGCTTTGGGCAGCACAACCAAAGCCAAGTTCTGTTGGCTTTTCCTGGGAGGCTATTCTTTTGTTTCCCCTCCCAGCTGGTTTACCTCTATTTGGAGGTTCAGGGAGCTGCTCTGGATTTACATGACTTCTCTGTGGTGTCCCTTGAGGCGGCAGCTCTGATTCATCACCCGCAAGGCTCATACATGGGGAGAAAGCAGAGCTTTGTGTCAATTTTCGTGTTACCTGCGGCAGCACCGGTGGGACGGGGTCCCCCTTTTGATACGGGTGATGTTTCCCTAAATATCAGCACTCGTTGCCCCTGGATCTCCTTGCAGCAGCGCCAAGTAAAGAGCATTAGTGGTGTTACCGCTGTCCTGAAGAGTCCCCCAGCACCACGTTTGGCTGGAGAGAGATAACATAAATCGTCCTCCTACGAGGATCTGGGCTGAAAACGAGAGGATTTAGCTTTCAGTACGAGCTAGTCATGCCTTAAAACAAATTTTGCTGAAGGCATCTTTTCTCAGCTTTATGGCTTTCCCCTTTCCCTCTCTTGCTTTGACGTGTGGTTTCTTCTGCGTGGCAGAGAGGACGGGCTGTGTGGGATATGGCCTCTGGGAGCTGCTTAGATGGACGGGTTGGAAAGCTGCAGCCAACTAGGTGGTGGGGCAGATTGTTTTAGCGACGAGGGGGGAAAATAACCGTTGTGGCATCTCTGTATCTCTGACCCTGTCTGGCTCTCTGCTGGACCTGGAGTCGCAAGCCTGGTGCAAGGCGTTGTTGGGTGGTGTGAATTATGGAGAACACCAGACGTGATGAATGTGACAGTCCCTTGGCGCTTTGGGAGATGTGTTGATGGTGTCAGCCAAGCCAGGGTCAATACATTTCTCTCCCACCAGCTGCCGTGATGGTCCTTGGCTCTGTTGACAACGTGTTTACCCCTGTTGATTTGTTGACCCATCCAACTTCTTAACAGTTTCTATGGTGTCTTTGTGCTCTTGGACACTTGCTGACAGCCCTCTCCCCACTCTGTGTGTACTGTGGGCCTGGTGTTCTGCCTGTATACGTGCTGTGTGATGAGGATGAGGAAATTGGGTGGGAACTATTTGGGGAGGGTCACCCCAGCTGCAGGTTGGCTATGGGGTGCTCTTGAAGGCCTCCATGTTTGGTAGCCACATGTTGGTCCTTTGGGAACAAAGCGACAGAAAGACATTTCTTGCATCAGAGTGGCCATATCTCTTCCTGTTCACCTCATGTCACTTCAAGTCCAGGTAGCAGAGTTGTTTTTAGCTCCTTGAATCTCCTCACCGGGGATCTGTGCCCTTTGAGTGCTGGTGAGGGCACTTTTGCTGGAAGGGGTGTACAGGGTGCAAGCACAGCGTGCTCCCTGGGTCCAACCCGCTTCATCCATGTGGCCAAGTGTTTGCCAGAGGCAGCTGAGGTCTGGAGAGGCCATTCCATGCTAAGTAGACCAGCAGGTCCTCCCTGGGGACGTTGTTCAACTGGCCTGACCCATGCTTCAGCCATTCAGGTGACGCAAGAGGTTGACTGGGGCTAAGGCTGTGGCTGGATTCGTGTCCAGGTAGGAGTGGTGAGCATCAGCTTCAGAGCTCAAACTTTTCTTGCGATAAAGTGGTTTTCTTTCTTCTTGTCTCTCACTTTTTTTGGTGCTTTCAATTTGTGCTTTCAGGGAAAGGCACGGAAAAATTGTGTTTATATCAGTCCATAAAAATACATATGGATGCATAGAGCTAGATATAAAGGATTCCCTTGTTTGCTGAAGCAAATGGTGGTGTGACGTCCACATGTTAGTGCTCTTATAGTCCCCAGGTCCTTGCTAGATCTTGTTGAATTTTCTCCTTATCCCTGTCCTGATCTTTTCAAGTGTTGCCGTTGAACCTCACAAATGCTGTTTTCCATGTGGATAATGATTTTGTCTTTAGGTGTGCTGAGGAATTGGGAACATTGTTTGTCCAAGGGCACATACAAGGGCTCAAAGCTAGTGATCATAGAATCGTAGAATGGTTGGAGTTGAAAGGGACCTTAAAGATCATTGAGTTCCAACCCCCCTGCCCTGGGCAGGGACACCTCCCACCAGACCAGGTTGCTCCAAGCCCCATCCAGCCTGGCCTTGAACACCTCCAGGGATGGGGCAGCCACGGCTTCTCTGGACAACCTGTTTCAGTGTCTCACCACCCTCACAGCAAAGAATTTTTTCCTGATATCTCATCTAAATCCCCTCTCTTCCAGTTGAAAACTGTTCTTTCTCATCCTATCCCTCCACTCCCTGATGAAGAGTCTCTACCCAGTGACTGTGATGTGTACTTGCTGGTGGATGTTGGTTGCTGTTGCTCCTCTCCCAGCCTCCTGCTCCATCTCCTCGTCCCACTTGTGGTTCCCATCCATGGTGTTGCTCTGTGGAAGGCTGTTGAGTGTGTTTGGAAGGGAAAAGAGGCCACTGTGCAACATCCTTGTGGGGCTGTCCCAGCTGTCAGCATGATGTGAACAGTGTGGTAACCCAAAAAAGCTTCTCCCTGGGTGGTGGGTTAATCTGGTACCCACCCACGCCTGCCTTCGTATGGATGTCCCGATGTTTAACATTCAGCACACCACCCACCGTAGAGCAATGGGCAGCGTTGCCAGGCTGTTAGCATATTTTGTGTTTTCTCACACCAACGTTTCTTGGCCAACGTTTCTTGGCCAACGTTTCAGCACTGAGGTGGTTTCTGGCTGGGTTTCACCCGTGCGGTGGTCCCTGCTCAGTGAGCAGGGCTGGCATCGCCCCCGCCAAGCCTTTGGCTCCCGTCTTGCTGCTTTTTCTCCTGCATCTCAAATCCTGCATTCCTGCAAGCGAACACCATAACCGGCGCGTCGTTTTTTGTAGCAAACTCTCCTCGAAGTGACAACCCGTAGGCAAAAGCATGTTGATGTGACGCGTTGGGATTGCTGGTTCGCTGGGCCGTCGTCCTGATCTCCTCAGCACTGGAAGAGTTGCTGCTCTGAGCTTCCTTGGTTGTCTTTCTTGAGAAACGCCACTTTCGGGTAATCTGGGATCTGCACAAATTCCCAGGTCTTCCCCAAAGAAGTAGGAAGGTGTTGTCCCACTTCACTGATATGGTTTGGGTTTGGCAGATGTAACTCGAAGGAAAGCTTTCCATGCTTGGACGTGAAAGTTGGTGTCTGGCCATGGGGAGGTGTCTGCTGGGCATGGCATGGGAAGAGGGTTTCTTGTGTTTTGGGAATGCCCCTCAGATGGGGAGAACCTCGGGTGTTAAGGAAGGATTGATTTTTCTTTTTTTTTTTTTTTTTGAGATACACAAGGAAGTGAAATTATAGATCACTAGTTGAGATGCTCTTCCCTGGAAATGTGCAAGAGGCCGGGTTGAACGGGGCTTGGAGCAACCTGGTCTGGTGGGAGGTGTCCCTGGCCATGACAGGGGGGTTGGAACTAGATGATCTTTAAAAGTCTCTTCCAACCTAAACCTTTCTATAATTCTGTGCACAGGGAAGTCAAATTGCAGTTATTGCAGTAGCTGTTGGTAAGGACAGCTCCTGGATGTTTATCAACTTTAAAAATGAACTTATTCTCCGCTGCATATTAAGGGATTGATGAGACCTTTCCAGTGCTGGGCAGGTGTTTTGACTAAACACTGGCACCTGAAAACACATGAACTATGGAAATCCAATGTTGTTCCCACTTCTCACCCTCCTGCAGCATCATGAGTGGTTGCCACTGTCACCTCTTTTCCAGCCTGTCAGTGTCCTCTTCTGCAG